TGCTTTTTTTCTAAAAAAAAAAAAAAAAAAAAGGTGCCGGAACTCACACATGTCATACAACCTGCCTTGCCTACCCTACAAAGTTCCATCCATAAAAGGTGCCGGAACTCCATTCTGGGCGTTCTATGAGAAAAAAAGCCCTGATAAAAACCATTTAGGCCGATCACCAGGAGACGGTGAGTTCTAGTCCCGCCTTAGGCATGAAAACCATCTGGGTGACTTTGGGCCATTCACTTTCTCTCAGCCCAGCCTATCTCAAAGGGTTGTTATGAGGAAAACAGGAAGAGGAAGAAATATTATGTGTGTTCACTGCCTTGAGTTAATCATTAAATGAAGGAAGGAAGGAAGGAAGGAAGGAAGGAAGGAAGGAAGGAAGGAAGGAAGGAAGGAAGGAAGGAAGGAAGGAAGGAAGGAAGGAAGGAATGGTTAGTTAGTTGGTTAGAATCAGCACAGCAACCAAAATTCCTTAGAAGAAACAGAAAATGACAAAGCTTCTGATCTGATCAAGGACTGGGAAGAAAATAAATTTGAGCTTTGTCCTGCAGACATTAATGGTGAACAAAACCACAGCCTGATTGAGGAGACGCTGGTCTTCTTGGGGTTTCCCCTTCAACTCTCCCCAACGCAACATCTGGAAAAACGTTTCTAGGAGGAATTGCCATCTAGTGGTATCTCCAGGCATTGCCTTGTACACGGCCCGCTCTTATTCCCCTTGGCATCCAAAAACGGACGGGGGTGGGGGTGGGGGGATTCTAATTGGAACCATCCCTAGAAAAATCCCACCCAATTAAGTTGACAGCATTTTTTAAATAGTTCTGTCTCTAAAGGAAACCGAACTGAACTTTGGAGCAGTTCAACTATAGGCTGCATGATTCCCTAGAGCAGGGGTAGGCAACTTTGGCTCTTTTATGACTCCTGGACTTCAACTCCCAGAATTCCTGAGCCAGCATGGCTCAGCTTGGAAACCTCTCCCTTTCCCCTCAGCGTGGCTGTCTCAGGAATTCTGGGAGTTGAAGTCCACGAGTCATAAAAGAGCCAAGGTTGCCTACCCCTGTCCTAGACCCTCACCCCATCCCAGCCAAGCGAAGCAGCTTTTCTGTTCTGGATTCATCCAATCTTCTGGCTTAATGGGTAACATGCATATCCACAGACTGAGATGCAAATGGTTAGGCAGATTGTTAGCACCCCACTTAAATGTGGTCTGGCTTGTGTCTTACTCCACGTTTTTGATGCGGAGAAGTTCTTTCCAGGAGCTCACAAACCAGAGAAGGCTCCCCCTTCAGCAGTTTTTCTCAAGCTTGACAACTGTAAGATGTGGACGCAAAGTTGTCAAGCTTGAGAAATATCATCCTTTAGGAAGACATTTAGTCAGAAAATCCTTTTCCAACAACATTATGAATGATCCAGACATATATGGAGAATATTGATACTCAAGCTTGTTAATTTCATATCTGAATGAGTCATCCCAGAATAACTTTCAGAGACCTATTTCCTTCCTGGCTTCAAAGCAGCTTTCCAGAGAAGTTCATCTGCAAATTCTGGTTGTGAACCATCGCATGTTAATGATTTATCGTGAAGCAGAAATTCAGCTGTGAGTCATGACTAATATATTTGCTCTCCCTGCCATATCATGGCCCCGTCATCTTCCACTGAGGAACCTGGTAGTTCCCAGGCGCACAACCAACTACTGAAGTCTCACCTTGGCTTGGCTTTCTGGTGCTGAACGTATTTGGTGGACACGACCTGTTCAAGTTTTGATGGATTATGCAGATTTAGGAAATGGGTTGCTTCAATCGCTGGATGTCGTGGAATCAAAGCTGATCTGCACTGCAAAGTAGTGGCCAGGATTTAAGGCAGGGGTCTTCAAACTTGTCCCTTTTATGACTTGTGGACTTCAACTCCCAGAATTCCTCAGCCAGGCACACGTGCCTGGCTGAGGAATTCTGGGAGTTGAAGTCCACAAGTCATAAAAGGGACAAGTTTGAAGACCCCTGATTTAGGGCTTCTCAAGCAGATCCACAAAGTATTGACCTAAGGTCAACTAGGTGGCCAGCGTGGTGATGGGGGACGTATGAAAAACACAAATGGAACTTTGAAAATAGGTTGTGGGCACCCTCTAGACACACCTATCTCTGCGTATGGATTTCATCCCCAGTATATATGAATGGAAAAATGTTCATATGGTATATTAACAGGGATTCTTCTGTGTCTTGACAATGTCCCTCTCTCTTTGTCTTTCCCTCTCTCCCTTACCTCCCTCATCCGATTTTCCCCATAACAATAACCCTGTAAGGTGTGGGTTGGACTGAGAAAGAGCGATTGGCTCAAAGTCACCCAGCTGGCTTTCATGGCTAAGGCAAGACTAGAACTCACCATCTCCTGGTTCCTATTCTGGTGCTTTAACTACTAGACCAAACTGGCTATTATATCTGATAATGTAATGTAATGTAATACAATGCAATACAATATATACTATACTATACTATACTATACTATACTATACTATACTATACTATACTATACTATACTATACTATACTATACTATACTATACTATACTATACTATAATAATATAATAATATAATATAATATAATATAATAATATACTATACTATACTATACTATAATAATATAATAATAATATAATATAATATAATATAATATAATATAATATAATATAATATAATATAATATAATATAATATAATATAATATAATATAATATAATATAATATAATAAATATAATATAATATAATATAATATAATATAATATAATATAATATAATATAATATAATATAATATAATATATAATATAATATAATATAATATAATANATATAATATAATAATATAATATAATATAATATAATATAATATAATATAATATAATATAATATAATATAATATAATATAATATAATATAATATAATATAATATAATAATATAATATAATATAATATAATATAATATAATATAATATAATATAATATAATATAATATAATATAATATAATATAATATAATATAATATAATAATATAATATAATATATTGCATTACATTACATCATATATAATATTGATATATAATTTTATAGCCATATCACCAACCTAGCAAAGTAAATTAGGACTAGAGAGAGAACATCTTCATCTCTATTGCTGGCATGACCAGCCTAAGAACTTGTACGGCAGGTGATGCCTACAGAGAGGCACAATATTAGGAGAAGGAGTTAAATAGTTTGGCCCAGAGCAAGGCAGTTATGATTGTAAAAAGACAAGAAATTCCAACTCTTATTTTGGGATTAATCATTCTGTTTTAGTGGCATGTATTTTTCGAACAGTAAAATGTGGTAGTCAAGTCAGTTAACCCAACCTTCTTCAGGGACCAATGGAAGGAATAGGATGACATACAGGGAAAATTTCCTATGAACTGAAAAGAGGAAGTTCGGGTGAACAGCAATAGATAGTATCTTTTTTTGGAGAAAGAGTAAAGGAAAGGAGGTTTTGGGCATGCAACAACAACAGCAACAAAAACCAAAGCAGGAATCCTTACGTTCTTTTGCAGAATGCTAGAAAAGAAAAACCACACCACATCAAAAGTAGAATTCATCCCGGTCAAGATATCAAGTGACAGCATCTTTTAATTTTTGAGGTTCACTGCATTGGTCTCCTATCAAGTCAAATCCAGGTCCTTCCAACTTTGTGTTTGCATATAGCACAATTTTCAAACTCAAAAACAGAATTTCAGCATCAGGGCACACCGCAAATGCCACAAGCTGGACTTTGAACCTTGATTCCCCAGTTGCTCACATATGGAAGCTACTTTCCATAGCAGATCCTTCGTTGTCCTATGATGGTGGACTCTTCTCATTGATAAATATCTCTCCAAGGTTCTAGGTAGAACCAGGACAAAACAAGACTTCCAAAGTTCTCAACCCCATTTGTGGGCAGAAAAATTTGGGTGGATGGAGAAGTTCTTGAGAAGATTCTGAAGATTCGAATGGCAAATTCTTTTCTGAGATCTTTTCTTGGGATTGAAGGGAAGTAGGAGAAGACCACCAGTCTTGAGACTGTTCCCAATTCTCCTAAATAATAATGGTCAGATGACCACACACCATACATTATGGTTTTCTCCAAAATTCTGTCTTGCTCTGAGAGAAGCTTTGAAAGCAAAATCCTTTTAGTTAGATTGAGTGAGAATTAGTAGAGGGGAAAATACGTCTTTCTTTTACCTGTTCTCTGTTTTTTATGCTTAAACAAGTATGCCAATGATTAGCTTGGTCTCTTCTTTGGGCAAAATGAGTCTCTACAAGTGGACTTATTCATGCATTTGTGAACAAATCCCAGGACTGTAGATTCATAAAAGCTTGAGCAACAGTAAGGAAAGACAAATATATCAACTCGTTAGTCACTGATTTTATCTAGTAATCTCAATGAGGGCATATAGCAAGGGTGTCCAACCTTGGCAACTTTAAAACTTGTGGACTTCAACTGCCAGAATTCCCCAGCCAGTTGCTGATGGGAATTTTGGGAGTTGAAGTCCACATGTCTTAAAGTTGCCAAGGTTGACCATCCTTGGAATATACAGTAATTTGACTCCTGGGCGTGCATTTAAGTCAAGCTATCACCAAAAAAACAGAAGGCACGCTTTAGGAAAGTGCCCTCAGCAAGGCACTAAGCGAGCAGCTGATGAGGTTTTTGCACCTTGACTCGGCTACAAAAGTTCTTGAAATCCAGACCTTCTCCATTCTCAGCTCTGGCCAGGACAGAGTTGGCCTGGCTTATTTGGAAGACTTTGTTTAGGAGCGGCACTGCTCCCCAAAAGGATGCTGAGCGACTCAGGTGGGCGGCAGACAGGGGGAAAACAAGAGCCCTTCCAAACTGCAGCAAAGGGCCCTGGGAACTCCAGTCCACGTTGCTCCAGACTCTGGAAGGCTCAGGAGAATTTGCAAGACCAAATCTGGAAGGCTCCAGGCAATTGGCAAGAAGACCCGGACACTTACCTTGAAGCGCCAGCAGTAAGCAAACGGCCAAGGCGATCTCCAACTTGACAGTCATCTTCTGGGGCGGCCAAGGTGAGTCCTTTGGCAGCAGAAGGTGACCAGCCCAGGATGCCCTCTTAGGCCCCAGGTAAGCTGCAAAGGTAGCAACCTCGCTGGCTGGGGTGGCAAGGGGGGGGGAGAGAGGGGGGATCCTCTCCTTCTTTCCTGATGCTGCCAAGATCGACTCGGTCCTTCCTTCTAAGTCTCCCGCGATCTCTCCAGCGGGGCTGGGGGTGGTCAGCAAGAAGGGAAGCCGGAGACTTCGAAGTTGGCCGAAGAAGCGGCGGGGCTCCCGCTCTCTTCCCGGTTAGCAGGTGTTCCCGGGGCCGGAGAAGGCAGCCCACGCCCGGCGTGGCTCGGGGCGGGGATGGGGAGGCAAGGAGACCGGGAGCCAGCAAGCGCCGGAGCCGCCGCGCCAACTTCTCAGCAACTCGCCAAAGTCTCAGGATGGGGCTTTTAAGCGGGGAGGGGGGAGCGGAGGAGTCGCAAGGCGGCCAGAGGCGACCGGGGGTCTGCCGTGCCTTCCGAGCTCTTCTGGGGCTGGTCCAAGAGAGGCCGGGGACTGTCATTTCCCCCTTGCCCCCTCCCAGGCGGAATCCGCTTTTCCTGGGATGGTGGATACGCACTTGGAATTCTTTCGAGGGGAAGCAAAGGAGGAAGGCGAGACGTCAGCAGCCCGACGTCCCGGGGAGAGGATTCCCCCCCCCCACTCACCCCAGCCCGTCCCCAATTCTCTCTCTCTCTCTCTCTCTCTCTCACACACACACACACACACACACACACACACACTTCTGGCTGCGGAGAAAGCCCGCTGCTACTTCCGCTTGCTTTACTTGGGGCCACTTTGCCCTCCCCCGCAAAGGCATCCACTTGCTCGCTGGCCGCGTGCAAGCCAGCTTTTTAATAATAATAATAATAATAATAATAATAATAATAATAATAATAATAATAATAATAATAATAATAATAATAATAATAATAATAATAATAATAATAAAGTTGGAAGGGACTTTGGAGGTCATCTAGTCCAACCCCCCGCTCAGGCAGGAAACCCTATACCATTTCGGACAAATGGCTGTCCAGTCTCTTCTTAAAAACTTCCAGTGATGGAGCATTCACCGCTTCTGGGGGAAGGTTGTTCCACTGGTTAATTGTTCTAACTGTCAGGAAGTTTCTCCTTAGTTCTAGGTTGCTTTTGCACGGGTTGGGCTGGCAGTGCCTGAACGGCGATTAGAAACAGGAAGAAGGAGCAGGAGGAGGAGGCAACATGGTCTAGTGGTTACGGATTTGGAGCAAACTCTCTAGAACATACAATAACAGAGTTGGAAGGGACCTTGGAGGTCACCTAGTCCAACACCTTGCCCAAACAGGAGTGTCTACAAGGTAGTCCTCGACTTACAACAGCTCCCTTAGTGACCGTTCGAAGTTACAATGGCACTGAAAAAAAGGCATTTATGACTGTTGTTCACGCGTTGCCGCAGCCCCCCGTGGTCACGTGATTTACATTCGGATGTTTGGCAACTGACTCACATTTATGACGGTTGCAGGGTCCCTGCGTCATAAGATCACCTTCTGCAACCTTCTGACTTCTGGGGAAGTCAGATTCATTTGTCAACCGGGTTACTAACAGCTGCAGGGATTCTCTTAACCAATGTGGCAAGAAAAGTCGTAAAATGGGGCAAAACTCACTTAACAAATTTCTGACTTAGCAACAACACAATTTGTTGTTTGGACTCAGTTGTGGTTGAAAGTTGAGGATTACCTGTATATCATTTCAGACAAGTGGCTGTCCTGTCTCTTCTTAAAAGCCTCCAGTGATGGAGCACCCACAAGGCAAGTTATTCCACTGGTTGATTGAAAGATATATATATATATATATATGCAGGTCTTGGCATATTCGGGTCTTTTCCTGCGTAAGATTGAGAGTATCTTGGCGACGTTTCGATGAGGTCCCACTCATCATCTTCAGGCTGGGGTCTTCGGCTTCGTGCCTGTGCGCACAGGCACAAAGCCAAAGATGACGAGTGGGACCTCGTCGAAACGTCGCCAAGATACTCTCAATCTTACACGGGAAAAGACCTGAATACGCCAAGACCTGCATACCTGTACCCGTGAAAATCTACGAAAACAAATATTCTCTGCCTGCAAGCCTACCTCATCAGGTTGTTGTGAGGACATGCCAATTAGAAGGCCTTGCATCCTCAAGCCTCGTTCATCCAACAAAATCCAGCATCTCTCATTGGGGTGATGGGCATTGTAATCCAAGGCACCTGCAAAGCCCTGGATTGGAGTGGGGAAACAGGGTGCAAAATGGACTGCAGCAGCTTATGGGTTGCCCTGGAGGAGAAGGTGATGATAAAAATAAAAAATATATATTTATGAATAGATCTCTTGAGAATAGATCTTTACTTTCAGATTTCTCTAAACAACGTAGATCTATGAGTGTGATAGTGAATGAAAGTGTGTTTTGAGACTTTGGGAAAAGTGCAAAGAAGAGCCACTAAAATGATTAAAGGCCTGGAGACAAAAAGATATGAAGAACGTTGCAGGAATTAGGTATGGCCAGTCTAGAGAAAAGCAGGATTAGGAGTGGCATGATAGCAGTATTCCAGTATTTGAGGGGCTGCCACAAAGAGGAGGGGATCAACCTATTTTCCAAAGCACCAGAAGGCAAGACAAGAAACAATGTATGGAAACTAATCAAAGAGAGAAGCAACCTGGAATTAAGGAGAAACTTCCTGACAGTGAGGACAATCAACCAGTGGAACAGCTTTGCCTTCAGAAGTTGTGGGTGCTTCATTACTGGAAGTTTTCAAGAAAAGACTGGGCAGCCACTTGTCTGGAATGGTATACGGTCTCCTGCTTGAGCAGCGGGTTGGATTAGATGACCTCTAAGGTCCTTTCCAGCTCTATTCTGACTGATTTAAGATTACAGATNGGGTGGGTGGGTGGATGGATAGATGAATGGATGGATGGATGGATGGATGGATAGATAGATGATACTGTAGATAGATATGGATGGATGGCTAGATAGCTAAATGGATGATGATAGATAGATAGATAGATAGATAGATAGATAGATAGATAGATAGATAGATAGATAGATAGATAGATAGATAGATAGATGAATGGATGGATGGATGGATGGATGGATAGATGATACTGTAGATAGATATGGATGGATGGATAGATGGCTAGATGGCTAAATGGATGATAGATGATAGATAGCTAGATTAGGTAGATCTATCTAGCTAGCTAGCTAGCTAGCTAGCTGGCTGGCTGGCTGGCTGGCTGGCTGGGTGGATGGATGGATGATACTGTAGATCAATATGGATGGATGGCTAAATGGATGATAGATAGATAGATAGATAGATAGATAGATAGATAGATAGATAGATAGATAGATAGATGGATGGATGGATGGATGGATGGATGGATGGATGGATGGATGGATGATACTGTAGATAGATATGGATGGATGGCTAAATGGATGATAGATAGATAGATAGATAGATAGATAGATAGATAGATAGATAGATAGATAGATGGATGGATGGATGGATGGATGGATGGATGGATGGATGGATGGATGGATGGATGGATGATACTGTAGATAGATATGGATGGATGGCTAGATGGCTAGATGACTAAATGGATGATAGATGATAGATAGATAGATAGATAGATAGATAGATAGATAGATAGATAGATAGATAGATAGATAGATAGATAGATAGATAGATAGATAGATATGAGAGAGGGGGGAGGGAGGGAGGGAGAATGCTGTTATATTCCGTCCCAAATTTTATGCTATAGAACAATGAAGGAGTGAATTTCATCAAGGGGAAAAAGAATAAAACAGAAAACAATTGAAAAAGGAATTTTATTTATCAATGTAACATAAATGTAAATATTTATAAATGTGACATTCAACACCATGTTGGCAAGTCGATGATGCATCTTCCTCTCTGGCAAAGTTTCCTGAGCTGTATGTAAGTGGGGGCCTTTTCTTTTTCCATACCATTCTTCCCTTTTGGGCCCCCCAAATATATAAAATAGAATATCACCCGTTATTGCAGGGCAGGTTTACCCCAAACCCCAACAGACTGAACCTGTCCCTGTCATTCTGGGGAAAGAGAAACTGCCTGACGTCGGAGGTTTCACTTCCGTTTCTCCGCGGATCAGTAACTGGATGTTATATTATCTTTGCTGGAACAGCTCCCAGGAAAGACAAAAGAAGGTGATGCCGATTTTCCATTCTCCAACCAGGCTTTCCCCAAAACGGTTGCCAACTTTGTGTGCCTGCAGGGAAAACAGGGCAACAATTATTCATTTAGAAAAGTTACATTGCCAGCCTACTTGATACAGGATAATCCTAGGTGAGTCATGGCAACTTTCCATAAAAGCAAAACCACACACACACAAATCTCCAAGGACAATTTATTCCAAAGGGTTGGGTGGTGTCCAGAGAAGGGTCTCTTCTTGCACCCCATTTGGACTTCTGTAACTGATGGGGTATGTAGTATACCCCCCGCTGCTTGCCCAGGATGAGAAAACAGAATGAGATGGTAACCTGGTCCCATGCCATGCATAACAGAATAACAGAGTTGGAAAGGCCTTTGGAGTCTTCTAGTCCAACCCACTGCATACAGAGGAGACCTTATACCATTCCAGACCAGTGGCTGTCCAGTCTCTTCTTAAAAGCCTCCACTGATGGAGCACCCACAACTTCTGGAGGCAAGCTGTGCCACTGATTAATTGTCCTCACTGTCAAGAAATTTCTCTTTATTTTTAGGTAGGTTCTCTCCTTGATTAGTTTCTGTCCATTGTATCTTGTCCTGCCTTCTGGTGCTTTGGAAAATAGGTTTGACCTCCTCTTCATTGTGGCAGCCCCTCAAATACTGGAAGACTGCTATCGTGTCACCCCTAGTCCTTCTTTTCTCTAGAGGAGACAAACCCAATTCCTGCAACTGTTCTTCATATGTTTAGCCTCCAACCCCCTAATCGTTTTTGCTG